AGCCTGACCAGGACCGCCTCCTGGAGAGTCCTGAGGGGATACTGAAAGGCAGAAGAATCTCCCTTTCTGTGCAGCAGCAGTTCCAGGCTCCAGCTTTTTTTTGGAGATACTAGGGTTTAAATTTCAGGCCTCATGCTTGCTAGGTAGGCACTCTATCACCTGGACTATTCCACCAGCCTTTTTTTTAATGTTGGGTATTTTCAAGATAGGGTCTTGAGAACTATTTGCCCAGGCTGGCTTCAAACCGCGATCCTCCTGCTCTCTGCCTCCTGAGTAAAGCTAGGATTAGCAAAGTTAGCGCCTGGCTCCAGCTTGTTTCAACGAATCTAGAGTCAGCTGAGGAATGTCTCCATCCTGCTGGGCTAAGTCCCAGTTCCACTGGGCCCTCCTGAGCTTCAATCTCTCCACCATTTTCCCTCCACCCTCCAGCACATGTTAAAAGGAGGTTTTGGTCCAAGGACTGAAAAATACAGACACAGTAACCAACTGCTGCTGCCAGGTGAAGGGCCCTGGCAATGCAGAGGGTACTGAGCAAACAGGAAGAAGCAAGCCCTTACCTCTCCTCTGCTCTCTAGCGCCCACCAGGCAAGAGCCTGGCTCAGCCTGTGCCGAGCGATAAGTGCTTAATAAGTGAGCATGCTGATGACCAGGGTTAAAAATGTAATATATCCAAAGTTAATTTTTATTAGCATGGCTAGAGAAGGGGAATGACCACCATCTGGTGAGTATTTTGTGCTAGGCACAAGCTGTGAGGGAATCAGATGCATTTGGAAAGGTTCAGGAGCCCTGGAAATCCATCACGTACCTGGAGGAGTCACTTGAATTTTTTGATCATCCAACTCCTCTTCCTGTGGCACCAAAGCCACAAAATAAGGGGGAACATTCTTGCGAGGTGTGTACCTACACACTGCTATGACCTCCTTCTCCAGACACTTGGTGAGCAGAGCACTGAACAGTGTTGAGCTTCCTGGAAAACAAATGTCCCAGTGGCTGACATCCTAAAGAGTTCTCTAACTTCTCTCCTCTTAGCCCATGGCATAACCCTACAATTTCTCTTTCATTTTCTTTTTCTCTTTTTTTTGGGGGGAGGGGTGGGGGAGTACAGGAAGTACTACCCCTGAGGGGTAGTTCAAACTCAGGGGCCTGAGTTTGACTCAGGGCCTCATGCTCTACCACTTGAGCCACACTGCCAGCCCTTTTCATTTTAGTTTTCAGATAGGGTTTCATGCTTGTGCCCAAGGCCAGCCTTGATCTGTGATCTTCCTGTCTCTGGATCCAGAGTAGCTGGGAATGTAGTTATGAACCATTACACCCACCTTGTTCTTTTAAGATAAGGTCTTGCTAACTTTTTGCCTACGCTGGCCTCGAACCACAATCCTATCTCCCAAGTAGCTGGGATTACAGACATGAGCCACCATGCCCAGTCAGGTTCATTTTCCTTAAAGGGCTATGATACCTCAATAAGAGTGAGGTGCCAGAGCTGAAGGAAAAGTGAGGGTAGAAAGGACATGGAAAGGAAGAGAAAGAAAAGCAATAAGGTTTAGAAAGCGCAAACATTCCCTCTAGGAGTGTGAATTACTAATGTCAGTCCACTCTACTGACATTGAGCTAATGGCACTGATACTAACACAATACTGGCAGTGGAGGCCGCGCCTGTGAACAGTGCAAGTACACGCAATGGCAGAGCTCGCATCACCTACAACTCCCAACACTAGAGAAAAAACTGTGGGTGGTTTTGGTTTTTTAGTTTAGTTTTTTTTTTTAACTCAGGACCTCACACTTGCTAGGCAGGAGCTCTACCACTTGAGCCACTCCACCATCCTATAGGTTTGGATTGCTTTGGCTCAAATAATTCCACAGGAAAAATTTTAAAAATCCTAAATTCCACAGCCCCCTGCAGGATTTTCACAATATGTGTCAGTATAGGGTCCTGAAGAAATTCCTTTAACTTCATTTAGTCCCACATTTCCAAAATTTGAGCATGAAACATTTTCAGAATACCCCATTGATATCTCCTGAACAGTGCCCATTCAGTACCCACTTAGGACATGTGGCTCTTAAACCACTTCCTGTGTTAAAGCCCTTTATTCACCTTTGGTCTATGCCACTCACCGTTTACCAGGGACTCTTCTGGGTACACAAACAGGGAGGGCCTCAGGTAATGGTGCTTCTTCAGCATCACCAAGGGCTTGAAGCCGATGAGAACCAAACCTGCTTCATCAAACCGCTTCAGCTCCTCTGTTTCCTCTTTCTCTAGTACAATGGGACGACTCCCATAGATCTAAAGGAGGGGAACATGAGGACCACACAGAGGCTACATGGAGATGCAAAATGGTGGCACCGGACACTAGCAAGGTAAATAAGCTCTTTTTTTTTTTTTTTTTGGCGGTACTGAGGTTTGAACTTAGGGCCTCACACATGCTAGGTAGGTGTTCTATACTTGAGTCACCCTTTTTCATGTTAAGTATTCTTGAGATAGGGTCTTGCAACCTATTTTCCCAGGCTGGCCTTGAACCATAATCCTGGTCTCTGCCTCTCCACTAGCTAGGATTACACATGTGAGCCACCAACACTCAGCCAATCAGTTCTCTTTAAGGAGTAGAAAGATAAGCTGGGCACCAGTGGCTTATGCCTGTAATCCTAGCTACTCAGGAGACAGAGATCAGGAGGATTGAGGTTTAAAGTCAGCCCAGGCAAATAGTTCAAGAGACCCTATTTCAATAAAACCCATCACAAAAAAGGGCTGGTGGAGTGGCTCATAGTGAAGGCCCTGAATTCAAACCCAAGTACTTTAAAAAAAAAAGAAAAGGAGCAGAAAGATGACCCATCCTTTTCCTACAACAGGGAATTAACACTTTTTGAAGAAAAAAATCAAAAAAACAGGATACAATGGCTCAAACCTGTAATCCTACCGATTCAGGAGATGGAGAATGAGAGGATCACAGTTCAAGGCCAACCCTGGCAAAAATTAAAAATCAAGGGTGACGGCTGGAGATATAGCTCAGTGGCAGAGTGCTTGCCTAACATATACAAGGCCCTGAGTTAGATCCCCAGCCCTGCAAAAATTAAAAAAAAAAAAAAAAGACTTTACTAGATGAGTAAACTGAGGCCCAATGGTTGTGCAACTCTGGCTCAGGGTTAATCAGCTGCACTGGGTTTAAAAGCAGATCTTCAGGTGCTAAAGACCACACTCTGCATGAATTTATTCCTTCTCCCATCTCACATGTACTCATCACCCAGCCCCATCCCTGGTGTGCTTACTTATGAATGGGAGGACCTATGTCAGGTGATGGGTTAAGTCTCTGTTAAGGTCAAAGGGAGAGAGAAACACACATCCTAAGTACTACTTTCAATCCTGTTTGAATTTTGATCCTGGAGTGTGATTAATAGTAGAACTTAGTAGCAGACTCAAATGTGGATCTTATGAACAAAAGAAAAGAGCCCTCAAGATGTTTTCAGACATACTGGATCAAGAAAGAAACTCAATGGCCAGAAGAGCTACTGTATATGAATGAACTGACATGAAAAACTAGTTACTTCCAAAATGGGAGAGCAAGTTTCTTATCTCCTTCAAAAGTAGGACAAAAAAACTCTGGTTTGAAATCTGTGCTCCAAAAAAACATCTCATGAATTGAACCAAAATACTATTTAATTCCAGTCATTCCTTAAGCAAAAACTGCACTTAAGCAAAAACCTGATTCTTTCCCACATTTGCATAATTAAAAAAGGATGACTCATTTGATTTTAATTTTCAATTCAAATCCTTCTATAGATAGAATGAAAGTGAGAGGACCAGGAAGGACTATGTTCAAAAAAGGCAGACATGTGTCATTTCAAAGGAAATTTTGGTCATTTAGCAAAAAGAAATTCACTCCACTTCACATCTAAACTTTCCCTAGCTCCTCATCTCCCTCGATAACTAGAAAGCACTTTCTGCCATTGTTCCAGACCAAGGAATTAGACTGTTAGAGCAGTGTGTGCTGGGTAGTCAAGAGCCAAGGGCTACACTGCCATCTTCTGTAAACTGCTGGCCCTGTTTAACTTTCTTTCTACATCTCAAGATACCACTACTCAAATGGTATAGATACTACAAGATACTACATCTCAGATGCCACAGTTGCAAAGAATTATTTTGTGTCTTAACAGTTTAGTTGGGAAGACACACACATGAAAGTGATTTCACTGGTTAGACTGCTCAATGTATCCCCTCCCTGTTAGCCCTTCAATAAGAGAAAATTCAGTAAGAAGTGTTATACACCTACCTGAGACCTCTTGGTGTCGCTAGGCAGGAGTAAACTGCCTGTATTTACATTAAATGTCCTGGTCTTGGTTTTTACTGGTTCATTTGTTTCCCGATAGAGCCTTACTGGAAAAGGCTTGTTAGCCTTCTGGACCAAGTTATAAATGCCCACAGTGAGTGCTATATCTTTACTGAGCTTAAACTTTAACCTGAGAGAAAAAAATGAAAAGGCATAGACTGAAAGATTATGTGTTTTCCCATTTAAGACCCCTTCATGGCACCTAAGTTTCAATTTTCTTGATTTTCGCCAATAATCAAAGCAAGTTCTTCAAATATAAACAGAATACAGACAGGCCTGGTGAGATATGTCTCTGATCCTAGCACTTGGAAAGCTGAGGCAGGAGGATCATGTGTTTAAGGCCAGCCTAGATTACACAGCAAGACTCCACCTTAAAAAAAAATGATAATCTAACAACATGGTTGCTATTGATTTAAAGAAATCAGAATAATACCACATCTTAACAATGATTATGATTAAGATTTATCGAGTTTTTGCTCCATACAGGCTCTGTTTTATATTTTTTTGCATTTAGTCCTCACAATAACCTATTGTTAGGCCCATACCGGGTGAAGAAAGCAGACAATGTACTAGTGAGTGCAGCTGAGGATACTCAGACCACAAGGAAATGGAAGGCTGTTTTACTCTGGAGAAATGTCTCACCAGCTCTTGCCAGAGAAAGAAGCAAATAGCTTGTGCTAGCCTGAAACAAAGCAAGTTTTTTGGAGGAAGACAGTGAGGGAGGAGCTCAGCCCAGGGAAGTCAAGGCAATGTGCTGTTTGTGACTTGTTAGGGGACTCGTGGGCAGCTGACCCAAGCATACTGCACACCTGGAAAGTACTCGCTTCCTGGTCTCCTTTGCTCGAACCTTCCTCAACAGGTCTTCTAGCTTGCTCGATTCCTCAAAGTAAACCCCAAGATCTTCATCCTCTGCTATGCTGATGATATCTCTGTAGAACAAGGATATGTCAAAACCTCCATGTTTTTTCAGGTGCATCAAGTCAAGGAAGATACCTGGTGCAAGAACAAACACAAGTAAGAGAGAAAAGCCATTTTCAGCAAATGAGAACTTTTTCTTCGTTTGTTTGGCAGTACTGGGGTTTGAACTCAGGACCTTGTGCTTGCGAGGCAGGCACTCTATGACTTGAGCCTCACCTCCAGCTGAGAATTTTTTTTTTTAGGTGATGGGGTCTCACTATGTTGCCCAGGTTGGCCTAGAACTCCTGACTCAAGCAATCCTCTTGCCTCACCCTCCTGAGTAGCTGGGACAACAGGCACATGCCACCTTGCCTGGCTCAACAATTTTGTTTTCAGTTAAACTCAAATACACTGTTAAAAGCCTCCCAAGACTCAGCTTGATGGTGCATGCTTATAATCCCAGTAGTTGGGAGTCTGAGGCAGGAGATCACAAGTTCAAGGCCAGCTTGGGCAATACAGAGACCCTTTCTCAGAAACACACCCAAGGGCTGGTGGAATGGCTCAAGCGATAGAGCACTTGCCTAGCAAGTCTGAGACCCTGAGTTCAAACCCCAGTACCCCCAAAAACAAAAAAACATAAACAAAAAGCACACACACACAAAAATAATAAACAACCCTCCCCCCCAAATATCTAGATTGATTATTAACATTTTTAGAATGTAAGAGAAAGTGGCTAAGTAAATCAACTGTTATAATAACTCTGGTTTTTTAAGTTATGAACATCATTATTATGTATTTGAAAATGTTCCAATAACCATACGTGATAGCATTAAAATCAGATAAGCTTGCTCTGATAGAGCCCTTTACACAGTACGGCAGGGTCATTTTCAATGTTAATGTTACACAGGTGTCTTCCTCTGGCCTCACCTTATTCTTTTCTTTGACTCTGGATAGCAAAAAACATGACATCAGCTATAAAAAAAACAATAAAATGAATCATTCTTGACCTCTCTTCCTGAGAGAACCCATTTTCACTCCGAAAGAAGTATCTCTATTCTAATAAACTTTACTATATTATTGTTCTCACCCTAGGGACAACCTGCTTTCAATCTATTGAAAATGTATTCCTTTACACTGCTATCACTTTCACTAAAAAAAAAAAAAGCAAGCAAGCAAGCAAGCAGTAAAATTAAGCGCCAAATTAAAAGAACAAGGAAAATGCCCACCTGTGTCACGGAGATCACCGGCTTTGGTCCTGGCCCGGCTGGCTTTGGCATTGTCATTGCCATGGGGGTCGTCTTCATTGGTAAACAGCATGATCCTCTTATGGCTCATCTTGAACTGGACGTTACTAAAGAGGTTGGCACAGACCCACAGCACTTCGCTCATTGAGTAGTCAGATCCATGGCCAATTAGTTCTTGGAAATGCTTTTTTCCCTGATGTCCCTTAAACTGGTCAAGTTCTAGCACTCGTTTAGCACCTGATCAGAGGCAGGAGTCAAATTGACAGAAAAATGAGAAGAGGGTCAGAGCCACCTTCACCACAGACTAACACAGGCCCTTTCTGTTAGTCAAGGAACCATTTACTTAACACCCCATAGTTGTTTAACATATACCCAGAGGTCCACATCCCAACAAGGAGCCTCTCATGCAGAAAAGCATGCTCCTGGACAAGAAGCTTCCTCCTCCACAGCCCTCCCAGTTCAGGGTAGTGACCTTTTCACATTAAGGAAAACACTAACCACTGATACTAAAATACTGACCTGGATTGTCCAACTCTTGTAAGACATAAATGTTTTTGAAATTCACTGAATTTTTGTCTTTCTTGGTACCATAGAACACCACTGCCAAGAGATCTCGATCACTGCTGATGATCTTACTGGTGTACACACACTGGATACACTGAACAAATAAAAAGCCAATGGATATTTACTTAATACCAAACTTAACTTCTAGAAGTGTGTGGTATATAGTAGGGTGCTTAATATGTAGTAACTGAATTTGTACAGGTAGACATGACCTCTACCATCAGGAAGTTCCTGAATCAGTGAATGATTGGCATATAATCAAGTTACAACAAAACACCAAGTACAGTACAGTAGAACTTCCCAAAGAAACCCGAGAATTAAAATCATATATATTCTCGGACCAGGAATGGTGGTACACTGTAATCCCGGCACTTGGAAGGCTAAGGCAGGAGAATAAAAAGTTTGTGGCCAGCCTGGGTTAAAAGAAAAAAAAAAGTCCAATATTAGAATCAGAAACTTGAAGCTGAGTTCCACTGATATCACCTACTTAACTTTGGCTGATTTTGGACAGGTCACTTGATCTTTCCTCAAGTATGCTGACACTAAGAAACAGCTGATAGTTATAAAATAATTACATGGTTTAAATTAACAACAAGTACATGTGACCAGAAAATAAATCAATCACTGATGATAGTGTCCCTTGAAGTAAAAGTGCTTAATTGCACAATTAAAGACATCAGTATTCCAATCACAGGAAAGGTCTTCTATTCCCCTTCTTCCCACCCCCTCAAAAAAAACCCTAATGTCCACATCTAATAAATTAGGTCTCATGAGAGTTGATTAGTCCTAGGAGCCTACCTAAAGCTTGGGGCACTGACAAACTTAAGTTTTTGAATCTGCAAAGCTGAGGAACAAATCAACCTTTGTAACCCCACCTCAAAGTCCTGCCTTAGTCTCTAGCCTTCCTCCATAGCAAGTCTCTCCTTCAATAAAAATGCAGAACTTATAATAATGGCTAGTCACTGACAGTAGTCCACATGGAAAGTAGCATTACTATATTTTAATCTACTCTTTGAGCAGTCTGCACAAGCTTTCACAAGAATTTGGTAAGGGCTCCTTTTAGACTCTTAAGAATTAAAAATACAACAACAAAAATAAAAACAATACAGAAAAGATTAAAATATCCTAGCCAAGGACAGGCTAAAAGAAAAAAGAATCTAAAATAGAATTTTAGGAAATGTTCTTTTACTTATGAAATAAATTGTACTCATTTGTGAATGTCTCTTTCATTTGGTACCTAACACTACATTCACTTCTGGAGTCTTTAGGCTTCAAAAGTTCCATGAACACTTTGGAATCATATGTAGAACTGTGAGTGCTGTCATCTTTGGGACGAAGGCGCATTGCTTCATCATATCCTCAAAGAGGGCTGTGGGGGCTGGGGCTGGGACTGTAGCTCAGTGGTAGAAGACTTGCTTAGCATGAGGAAGGCCCTGGGTTGGATGCCCAGCACCTCCAGAAAACAAAAAACAAACAGACAAAAAAGAGGTCTATGACACAAAAAACATTAAGGCACCACTCCTCAAAGTGTGACCTCCAAATTAGTACCATCAGTACCATCTGAGAACTTACTGGAAATGCACGTTCTGGGTCCCTGTTACAGAACCAGATATTCTGGTTTTGGGGTAAGGCAGTTTGTATTTTAATGCTCTGCAAGTGAGAATCACAGCTTTAAGGTAGGAATTTTTTTTTTTTTTTCCAGTTCTGGGGCTTGAATTTAGGGTCTCACATTGCTAGGCAGAAGCTCTATCACTTTAGTCACTCCTCCCATTAAGCAGTTAGTCCCCACTCCTCCCTCCTTCCTGCCCCTCATAACTATACACATGCATGCTCTATGGATTTACTTATTCTGGATATTTCATATAAATGAGATTACACATATGTAAACTTTTGTGTCTGGATTCTTTTTCTTTGTTTTTGGCGGTACTGGTTTGAATTTAGGGCTTCACACTTGCTAGGCAGGTACTCTACTACTTGAGCCAAGCCTCCAACCTGTGTCTGGTTTCTTCATTTATCATGTTTCCAAGGTTCATCTACCTTATAGTATGTATCACTTCTTTTCTTTTCTTTTATTTTTTTTTTTGTGGGGGGGAACAAGTACTGGGTTTGAACTCAGGGCCTTGTGTTTGCTAGGGAGACTCTTGAGCCAGGCTTCTTTTCTGTATTTTTTGGTGGTACTGCGGCTTGAACTCAGGGCCACACACTTGCTGGACAGGTGCTCTACCACTTGGACCATACACCCTGCCCTTTTTGCTTTGTTTATTTATTTATTTATTTATTTTTTGGTAGGAATGGGGTTTGAATTTAGGGTTTTGAGTTTGCAAAGCAGGTGCTCTACAGCTTAAGCCATACTTCTAGTTCATTTTGTTCTGGCAATTTGGGAGATGGAGTCTCACAAACTATTTGCTTAGGCTGACCTCAAACCTCAGTCCTCCCAAGTAACTAAGATTATAGACCAGAGCCACCAGTGCCCAGCTGCTTTGGTTATTTTTGAGAGAGGGTCTCATTGTTATGCCTGGGCTGGCCTAGACCATGATTTCTATTTATGCTTCCTGAGTAATTGGGATGACAGGCTTATGCAACTGTGCCCAGTTTATTTATTTATTTATTTATTTTTTGTTCACAGTTTATTTTTTGAGATGAGGTCTCAGGAACTTTTTGCCCAGTCTGGCCTCAAACCACAATCCTCCCCACTTCCACCTCTCAAGTGGCTAGGATTACAGTCATGAGACCACACCCAGCAGGTATTCGTTCTTCTACCTTTTGGGGTTTTTTTGTGGTGTTAGAGATTAAACTCAGAGCCCAGTGGGTGCCGGTGTCTCACACCTGTAATCATAGCTACTCAGGAGGCAGAAATCAGGAAGATTACTGTTCAAAGCCAGTCTGGGCAAACAGTTCACGAGACCCTATCTCAAAAAAATCCATCACAAAAAAGGGCTGGTGGAGTGGCTCAAGGTGTAGGCCCTGTGTTCAAGGCCCAGTACAGCAAAAAAAAAGCAAAAAAACAACCCAGGGCCTTGTGCATCTTGTGCATGCTACCAAGTGCTCTTTCACTGAACTGTACCCCTGTTTTTTCTCTTTTTTAAAATTATAGCCATCCTAGTGGGTATGAAGTGGTACCTCATCGTGGTCTGGATTTTCATTTCTCTAGTGACTAGCACTCTCAGCCATTTTTGCATTTATGTATCTTTGGAGAAATGTGTATTAAAGTCCTTCATCCATTTTAAAATAGGGGTTGTTAAATCAGGACATGATACACACACACATGGAAATGTAATGAAACTCCCTGTATAACTATTTTAAACAAACAGAAATGTCTTTGTTTTCAAAAACAATGGACAGGAAGATAAAATGGGTCCTGTCTGGGGTTGGTACCAGTAGCGGGGGGAGGATATAGGGAAGAGGTAAAGGAGGGTGAATACATTAGAAATATTATATACTCATGTATGCAAATGGAAAAATTAAACCTGTTGAAACTATTCTAAGAAGAGAGGGCGGGAAAGGAGAATGATGGAGGGGGTGAGTTTGGACTAAGATATTTTGTAAGCACTTTTATAAATGTCACAATGTATCCCCAGTACAATAATACAATAATAAAAAACTTTTAAAAATTGGGGTTGTTGTAATCTTTTTTAACCACAGTAGTATTTGACTCCAAAAGATCACAGGAAGACTCTTTTTATAGTTTTTTGGTGGTATTGGCATTTTGAACTCAGAGCCTTGTACTGCTAGGAAGGAGCTCTACTACTTGAGGCACTCCTCTAATGGTTCTCTTTGGGAGGTGGTGCTCGCGATTGAACCCAGGGCCTTGTGCATGCTAGGCAAATGTTCTATTACTGAACCAGTCCAAAAGAACTCTGCACACTACAACTGCCAGCACTTCCCTTCTTCCTTTATATCCCATCTCTAAAGGAGAAGCTTGTTTCTACTAGCAGAGCTAATAAAGAAGGTAGGAGTCAGACCTAGAATGAAATGGAACTGGTCTCCAATACTGCTACTTTTTCCAGCTGCATGTACAGGCAACCACCCAGGGGAGGCTAAACATCACTGGCTAACCCAATTTATCATCCACAAACTTTTTTCCAGGGCTGGGGGAGTGTTTCAAGTTATAAGAGCACCTGCCTAGCAGTGCAAGGCCCTGAGTTCAAACCCCAGTCTGCCAAAAAAAATTTTTTTTTCCTAAAGAGTCTATGTTTTTAAAAGTTTTTGGTTTGGTTTGGTTTTGGTTTTGAGATAGGGTCTTGCTATATAAACCAATCTGGCCTTGAACTCATGATCTTCCTAACTCAGTCTCCTCCTGAGTGCCAGGATTACAGGTCTAGCCCATGCCTAGCTCGAGTTTTTTTTTTTTTTTTCATACTCATATGAATATGAGTGTAATTCCTGCCAAAGAGAAGGTTCAAAGGGCTGGGGATGTAGCTCAATGATAGATCACTTGCATAGTATGTACAAACCCTGGGTTTGATCTCTAGCACCAAAAAAATAAAATAAAATAAAATAAAAAAGAGGTCTGGACCACACATGTGGCCTGTGGGTGAAAAAGGCCTAACAACCCTTCCCTGACTGCTGTGGATCCTGTGAGGGTCAAGAGGGAGGCTATCCCTAGGTTCTGTTCAGATTCCCAGACAGCACCTCACCTGCCAATTTCTGTTGCACAGGCTTCTCCCTACATTTTAAGTTAAATAAAAAGGCAGACTTTTAGCTGGTAGAGTGGCTCAAGTGGTAGAGTGCCTCCCTAGCAAATGTAAGGCTCTGAGTTCAAACCCCAGTACCAACACCACCACCAACAAAAATAATAAAAGAGTAGGCTTACCTGGATGCTCATATCAAAAGGAGTCAATTCCTCTTCACTCTGAGATTCAAACATAGCCCTGGAGGCATCCACCAAAAAAATCAGACTATCTCTTCCTGAACATTTATATTCTCCTATGGGGAAAGAAATAGAAGGAAATGTTAGCCTTTGTATTCTTATTTATCATGTTTATCACAAATACAAGTAGAAGAAAGTCCATAAAGCAAAATATAACCTGATGAATTTTTTTGGGGGGGGGCAGCTTGAACTCAGGGCCTTTCACTTCCTAGGCAGGCACTCTACCACTTGAGCAACTTCGCCAGCTCTTTTTTTGTGTTCAAGAATAATCAGTAGAACTGTGTGCTGGTGGCTCACACCTAGCTACTTGGGAGGCTGAGATCAGGAGGACTGTGATTCAAGGCCAGCCCAGGCAAATAGTTCTCTAGACCCCATCTCCAAAATAACCAGAGCAAACTGGACTGGAGGTGTGGCTAAAGCAGAAGAACACCTACTTTGCAAGCTCAAAGCTCTGAGTTCAAACCCCATTCCCACCAAAAAAAAAACAAAAAAACAAAAAACAGGCGGTAGTAGTTGTATTAGGGAAGTAGATGTACAGATTGCAGTAGGCTTTCTTTTATTTTTTGTTTCCTATATTTCTCACTTTTAGCAAAAACACTTTAAAATTTTCTACCCAGGAGATAAATTGACAAGTATGTAGATTACAGATTACATGTGTGTTTACTTCTCTTCCATTGCCCTGTGTGTTACTGTGTTGCTAAACACACACTCCCAAACCTGAAGGCTATCATAAAGGAATCACTCTCCTGAAATTGTTGCTAATGTTTACACTCTTCAATTGCAGCATTCCCATAGAATTAAGGCATTTTTGCAGAGGTCCTGGAATGAGCAAAACTACCTTCTTGGGTGAGGAAGGGTCTTACTTGAACTGTGTAAGGTGACAAAGTTTACCATGGACAAGGTCATTTATTGGAACTCAGATGACAATCTCAGTAAACATTTGGTGTGAACAGCAAAAGTTGAAACTTAGAAATGTCCCAAAGATGGGCTGGGATGTAGCTCAGTGGTACAGCACTTGCCTAGCATGCACGAGGTCCTGGGTTCGATTCCAGCACCAAAAAAAAAAGAAAAAAAAAAAAAAAAGAAATGTCCCAAAGACTAGAATAGGATCTGAATAAAAGGGCATAGGGTCGTTCTGCAAAACTCAAAGGGAGAAAAGTATTTCAGATTACCTGGAGAGAGAAGAGTGGGCCATGGGACACAAAAGTCCACCCAGCAGAAAAAAAGCAGGCAAGATCTTTCTTCCACACACAGAATGGCAAATCCTATTAAAGTCACTTACCACCTGTATCAGGGCTCTCCTCTTCTTCTTCCTCTTCTTCACCCTCGGTTTTGTAGTAAGACTCCCACCCCGACATGTTGGTTTCTGCTAACTAGGTAAAAGAAGTTAAAATCAGAAACAAGCAAATTTAAATCGAAAAAATATCGACTTCTAGGCTCTTTTAAGATCTGTTCTAAATACTCAGGGTTACTAATGAGGAATGTGGATGAGCATTTCTCATTGCTTCGGGGTCAACAGACTCCGGGTGGCCGCTCTGATACGAGTGCTGGGGCAGCCCAACCCTGGAGGTCCCGCCGCCAGCAACGACTGGACTGTGAGGACAGTCTTCTCTAGCGGAACCACTCGCACTCATTCCACCCAAACATCTCCCCCAACCTCTCAACCAATCACCTAATGAGGACTCAAGCTCAGGTGGGAAGGAGCGGAGTCCAGAGGCTGTCTCTAACCTGAAGTCTACTAACTTCTGGCGGTCACTGCCCAGCGCCGACATTAGGGTGGCGCGTGCGAATGAGTGAGCCAGCAAGGTGTGGCCAACCTGGTCCGCAAGCAATAAGCACAGAGAACACTCACCCTACCTTTGCCACTGGCAAGAGCTCAATTTGCACAGAAAGAGGACACCACGTCGGCGCGGAGTTCTTTGCTCTCCTCCAATCAACGTCCTTAACGTCATCACGCACAGTGCGCTCTTCTCCCCTCAGGCTGACCCGCCCACTCCCACAACCAGCTACTACAAAAGTCTCTACCTAAAGCCATCAGCGAAAGCCCCGCCCCTTCCACGAAGCCCCGCCCCGAGACTCGTCAAGACGGTGCGCACATGCGCGAAAGAGCGTCTCCGCCCCCGCCCCTTCCTCCTTGTAGACCCTCCGGGTCCCCTCATAGTCACCTCACAGTAGTCGTTGCCAGTAGCGGGTGCGGGGGTCGCGAGCAGCGAAGGGCGGCCTCTCCCCCGCCCCTCAGGCCGGGCCCGGGCTCGGTGCCCCCGTTCCCTCCTTTCCCCACCCCGGTCTGGTACAGGAAGGTCCTAGCCGCTGCCGAGTGCCCGAGGGCCTTCGTGGCCGCCGCCACGGGTCCCAATGGAGCCGCCGAATCTCTATCCGGTGAAGCTCTACGTTTACGACCTGTCCAAGGGCCTGGCCCGGCGGCTCAGCCCCATCATGCTGGGTGAGGGGGCCGGGGTCAGGTGGGAAGGAAGGCAGGAGCCGCGCTGGAGGGTGCCTGCTGGCCTAGGGGGGAAAAGTTGGACCATGACTCCCGGGAGAGGCAGGGTCCAGAGGATGGAAGATAGGCCGAATGGGGAAGGGATGGGGGTGGATTTGACCTTCCTGAGCCTCGCTTTTCCATCTTCACGTGAATCCTGGGAGAAAGGCTAAAGCAGTCACGCCCTCCCCTTGCCCGGGACTCCGACAGAGAACAAGTCCTCCAGAGCCCGTAAACTAGGGGGTGGGTAAGCTGGCTGGAGCCTGATGGGATCCCTGGCTCCACCTGGGGAACCCTCGACCCCTTTCTTGACTCGGTGTGGCCGGGGTGAGTATGCCTCTCGCGCGGTGGCCCCCGTGGTGAAAGGGACACTGCGGAGGAGATTCTCCGGTGGCCTTCGGAGAACCTTCCGTCCTCGCCAAAAAGAAATTACCTCTGCAGTCCCTGGGGTAGGTAGGAAGAGAAATCTAGGGTTGCACATAGGTGCTCAACCATCGTCTTCCAGGTAGAGGTCAAAGTCAGGTCAGCAGGAGCCCGAACTTCAGAATTCACCAAGTTCGGCCTGACAATGCAGTCTTTTCTCTGCAGTTTCTAAGTTAGTTACTATTGCCCAGATGGTAGAAAACAGTTCTGGGGAAGGATTGGATGTTGTATCAGTAAGGATTAGTAAGGGAAGTATTTTGGTTGAGCTCCATTAAACTACTTTAAGGCTGGGAGAGAAACTCAGCCCTTCAGTGTACATCAAACCTCCTTTCAACCAAATACCAGAATATCTTGTGTCATATAAAAATGATCAGATTCATAATTTCAGGTAGTTAGGAGCAGGAAAGGATTTCAGGAATTGAAATTTGGCAACATCTGTTTGAATGGCTAGTGTTTCCTGGCTTCTGTGGAGACATTGGAGAATGATTTACTTCATCCCTGGGGGACAAGAGGGCAGAGCTCAAGGAAGCAGTGCTACTTTTGAATACCTTTTCGATGCCCTTGAGTTTATAATGTATCATATTGAGTTTAACATAATCCCTCAAACCTGGGCCAGTGAGTGGTTACTGTATTTGGCTTCACATCAGAGTCATCTAGGTTGCTTGTTAAAAATGCAGATACTGGGCGAGGGATATAACCCAGTAATAAAGTGCTTTCCTTCGCGGCATGCTCCAGGCCCTTGGTTTAATCCCCAGCACTGCAACAACAAAAAACCCAGATCTGTTCATTTCCAACATATCTTGTTAAGTAGGATTAGAAAAAATTAGGTTAAAGCAATTACTTAAATATGCAAATATGTAAATCTGTATTTTTAATAAGCTGGGATAATTCTTATGTAGCCAAGCCATTATTGGAGAGAAGCTTGTTAAATGAGTAAGACAGGGCTAGGAGTATGGGCTTAGAGAGTGTTTGCCTAGCATGCACACAGCCCAATCTCCAGCATCATGGTAGGGAGGAAAAATCACTAAAAAGTCATTAATAGATTACATCAGTCAAATACTAACTAAACTCCTTGGAAGGGAGCCATTTGTTTAGTTTGATAATAGTGAGACATTACTTAGATAGTTCCTAAGCCCATAAATAAAAGCCTCTCCTTTTACACTGGCTAATATTTGTTCTGTTCCTAATAAGTATTATTTTTAGTGAAAAAGACTTTAGGGATTATTGCTTTGTTCACTCAGTAGATATTCGAGTGCCTGCCTAGTCAATATGTTCAGCTTAACTGAGAATGATTGAACAAAGATATTATTTGCCATCATGGAACTAGCTGTTGTGGGAGATATTAAAAATAAATATGCAGATAAAAATAAGAGCAAATTATGATCTGTGCAGGAAGCAAACTGGGTGAAAATAACAAGGGAGTAGGCCACTGCAAGACCCTAGGGTCCATCCTCAGTACCACAGGAAAAAAAAAAAAAAAAAGGATTATAGGCATGAGCCACCAGCGCCCAGCTATAATAGTGTTTCTGAGGACATCACCTTGCCTACAAGTCTAAATCTCCATCTCTTCCCTGCGTTGCTTTTTGCAAAAGTAATAAAGAGTTAGCAATTACTTTGTAGAGTTGCAAATGACCATTGTCTTATTGGTTCATCCCTTCATATACCACCGACCTTAAAGTTGGTGTATCCCAGTTCTATTAGTTTCCATATATTGATTTCCCATTCCTATATTTGACCCTTTAAAAAAACTTCGTTTGTTTCCTGATTTCTATAATGAGTTCTAGAAGTACAGAAGGCCCTTATTAAAAACAAACAAACAAATCCCCAACTAGGTGCCACTGGCTTACGCCTGTAATCCTAGCTACTTAGAAGGCTGAGATGGGAAGGATTGCAGTCCGAGACCAACCCAGGCAAAGATTTTGTGAGACTGTGTCTCCAGAACAACCAGAGAAAAATGCCTGGAGGGCTCAAGCAATAGAGTGCCTGCTTTTTGAGCACAAAGCCCTAAGTTCAAATTCTAGTCCCATAAAAACAAAAAAAAAATGGTATCCTCACCACTCCTTTGTGAGATAGGTCCTGTTATTAAATTCTCCATTTTTCAGTTGAGGAACCTGAGACAAAGGAGTTAAGAAATTTGCCCAAGTCACATAGGAAGGTAGGTGACAGAGCCAGGTTATAAACGTGGGCTGTCTGACTTCCAGAGCTCATGTTCTCCATTTTGCTAATATCATCTCTCCTGAGTAATGTGTTCCCTTATGATTAGTGTACCTTGTTCAAAGTATCTAAAGGCAGTCTTGCCAAATGTTTCAGGTTTGATTGAGAAAAAAAAAATCTGGGCTCCATGTGTATATGTCATTCATAACCTACAATTATGATCATCCCTCTTAGCCTTCCTTTTTCCAAAGTAAATTCACATGATCTTATCAGCAGTACCTATGTTAGCACTACCCTAATATAGCAAACGCTTTGGTTTTGTTAATTTCCCACCGTAAGACCTTTTCCAATTCTATTACAGTTCATGATTGGGCTAGATAATGCTCCATGTGTTCCTCTGAAACCACATAGATCCCACAGTTTCCCCTGTCCCATTTTCAGTCTCCTAGAATCACCTCCCATGAAGGTATTTCTGTTTTATAGTTCCTCATTAGTCACAAAAATGGTCCCACAATTATCCTTGGCATTCTAATTGAGCAGACAGCCTCATTGTACCTTTTTTCCCCTGTACCACCATTTAGCTAATATAATTAGCTATTATAATTAACTTTCAGCTCATCTGCTTAATAATGTTTTCTGCCCTTTAAATTTTTGACTTCTTTTTGTGCAAAGAGATAAGTGCAGAGGTTTGGGTTCCCCCACTCCCTAAGGGAGTGTGGTCTGAGATGGGGTCTTGCTATGTGGCCCAGTTGGACATGATTTCTCTTGCCTCAGCCTTTTGCATGCTATGGGTGGTTTGTTTTTTTAATTGTGTTAGCAGGTACTTCATATTTGTTATTTTCTGATCTGAAATCTTATTTGCATGTACCACATTTATTTTCCTTTCCAAGCTTATCTCAGAATTGTTCTCAGGTTTAAAGACTTAAAGACATAGAATATACATACGTCTTGCTAGGAACGTAGCTCAGTTGTAGAGTGCTTTCCTAGCACGCGTGAGGCCCTGGGTTAGATTCCCCAGCAATGGAAAAAAGTTGCTAAATATGTACGTTGGCAGAATGCAATCTAATGAATATTTGAGATTTTGTTCTATCCTCAGTTCTTGCTTAATTCTTTATAGTAATAGGAACTCTTTTGTCCAAGAGTTGATTTTTCTAAAAATAATGTACAGCACATGTAAAATTAGATGACAGCATAAAGGAGATTATGATTAAACGTCAAAATGAGCAAGAAGAAGCAGGGCTTTCTCATTCCTTTCTATGTCTCCAGTGACCGATTAGAGTAGGTACCCAATAAGGAATGTGTGTGCGTGTATTGGTGAGGATGGAAGCAAGGGCCTAACCCAGCTACACCCTCAGCCCCAGTAAGTTCTGATTGTAGAATTGGTTGAGGCTTGAATTTAGTCTTGAATATTTTCGAATCTGAGGGAGTTTGGTTTTTGGGGTTTTTTTTTTTTAATGTTTTAATGCCATCTATTGTGCTTTGTTTTAGATTTTTGTTGTTCATTGTGTGAACTGTTTGATATCCACTGCATGAATTTAGTAATCCCACATTTTCTTTATAGAAAATGGAAATTGATGTGGTTTTCAGGGCCCTCCATGCTACGGAGTTACCTGTCGCCAACTCATGCTCAACACACCCACACCATCCTTTCTCTGCTGGGTCCTACAAGAAAATTCAGCCTTAGAAAAAAATAATTGAATGGATTTCCTCAATTCTCCCGATGGGATTGGGGAGAATCGGAGTGTTAGGGCTTAATTTGCAGAACTGCAGCAGAGAAGGTCTGTTGGACACCCCAATAGGACAACTCGGGTTTGAACTCAGGGCCTCATGCTTGCTAGGCAGGCACTCTACCACTTGTGCCTCTCTGCTAGCCCTTTTTTGTATTGGGTATTTTCAAGATATGGTCTTGTGAACTATTTCCCTGGGCTGACTTCAAACCATGATCCTCCTGATCTTTGCCTCCTGAGTAGCTAGAATTACAGTCGTCGTGAGCCACCAGCACTCAGCATTCGGGCCATTTTTTCACCTCAGCTTTTTACTGGCTATGTCCCCTGCCAGGGTTACTTTCTGTCCCCATCTCTTGGCCTGGCTAACTTCTGTTCATCCTTGAGATCTCAGCTATGAAGTCACTTCTTCTAGGAACTTTTACCTGACCCCCACCTCCAAATCTTGCTCATGTGTTTCTTTTATGTGCTGACAGCATCCTATACGTTCATTTCATTGCATTCATCCTCCTGTTTTATAATTCCTTGTTTTCTCCTCTGTGTCCCCAAACCCTTCCACTCCCTCCAGTTTTCCTGGAAGCTCCATGGGGCAGGAACTCTCAATTGTATCCCCAGAGTCTAGTATGATTTAGCATTCAGTGAGCACTAACTGGGTGAATCTGGGACACTGCACTTACCCAGAGCATTGCTAGAAGGCCTGGCTAATAATAACAGGCAATAATTAAGAGGAGGAGCATCTCAGTACTGAGGAAAAAGTACTCAAAAGTTATTTTTACACTAGAAAAGAGAACTGCACTGACTCCAAGGAATCCTAGAACTAGAGTATTAAACCTACCTTTTTTTTTTCTGAACTGGGCATTGAACCCAGGACTTCAAACAAGCACTCTCCCAAACTATACCCTCAGGATTTCCAAGTAGTAAGCCTACCTTTTTGATGATTAAAACTGTCAGGGTTTTTTTGTTGTGTTTTGGTTTTTTGGAGTGTTTTGTTTTTCTTTTTTTGAGATAGGGGGAGTCTCACTATGTTGCTGGTATGGTCTTGAAATGCACTCAAGCAATTGCCTGCCTCAGCCTCCTGAGTTGCTGATACTACATACTTGTGCCACTGTACCTAGCTGGTAAGCACTCCTTACTAGTAGGCATTTTTTACAGTATTGACTGCAGAGGCTATTTATGTTGCACAAATGTTTTCTTTTACATTTTCCCACCTAGAATCAAGGCTTATTCAGTGGTCCCAGAGAAGAATAAGCTGATTTTTAAAGTTAGAACTAAGCCTCTCAGATTGCTGGTTAAAATGACAATTAAAAGCATTTTATTGATGGCTGATAAGTGATAGAGCGCCTGCTTAGCAAGCATGAGGCCCTGAGTTCAAACTCCAGTACTGCCAAAGAAAACCCCCAAAAACTATTGGGCTGAAGGCATGGCTCAAGTGGTAGAGCGCCTGCTTCACAAGCACAAAGCCCTAAGTTCAAACTCCAGTACCACAAAACAAAAAAGAAAAAAAAAGCCACTTTATTTTTAGGTGCAAGAATCTGTGAGGTGAGCTAGTGCTACATTTAATGCCTTAATACCTTTTCTTTCCCTGCCATCTAAGACAAAAATGGCACCTGCTTGGGACTAGTGGAGTGGCTCAAGTTGTATAGAGCCTACCTAGTAAGCAAGTCCTGAGTTCAAACTCCAAGACTGCAAAAAAAAAAAAAAATGCCATCTGCACAGAGCCCCTTACCCCTGAAATCCCATCACTGTCATTTACTTCACGCTTCTTAGTAGGCATTTATGTAGCAGCAGCAGCAGTATAATAAGGGCTGATCTATATCCAGCATGTATGTGTATATAGCACAAGCTCCATTCATCTCAGCGGACAAGGAGTTGGGTGGAATGTTCTCACCTTGGCTTTTTTTTTTTTTTTTTTTTGTAGGATTGGGGTTTGAACTTACTGCACTTGCAAAGCGGGCACTCTACTACTTGAGCCACTTCTCCAGTTCATTTTGCTCTGGTTATTTTAGAGATAGAGTCTCACAAACTATTTGGGCTGGCCTTGAACCAGGATCCTCCCTATCTCAGCCTCCCAAATAGCTAGGATTACAGATGTGAGTCATCAGCACCCTGCTCTTGTTGGCTTTTATAGGCTTACTTTACTCTTATGAAGAGTGGATGGCTGACCAATGTCTTATAGTCCATGATCTCTGTTATTCACGATGGTAAATGGGGCTGAGATCCATGTCTTCTATTTGTTTTCCATGTTTTTTGGTTTTTGGCAGTGCTAGAGTTTGAACTCGGGGTCTTTCACTGGCTAGGCAAGCACTCTACCACTTGAGTCACGCCCCAGACTTTCTTTGTTTTGGTTATTTTTGCAGTTATGCTCAGGCTGGCCTTTCCTGCATAGCTGGAAGGGCAGGCATGCAACTACACCCAGCTTTTATTGGTTAAGGTGGGGGTCTTGGAAACTATTCTCACAGGCTGGCTTCGAACTGCAATCCTTCTGATATCTGCCTCCTGAATAGCTAGGATTATAGGCGTAAGCCACTGCACCCAACCCATGTTTTCCATGTTTATACTTCATAGGCCTCAAAATGAATGCACTGGATGTGCTAACAGACTTGGAACATGCAGCCATATGATCATTTCCTCTGAGGAAATCCTAGTGGGAAATAATCTGCTTCTATACTGTGCTAATAGCCATTGAGCCTAATTTGGGTCCCCAAATGGCCTTAAGCCCTTCTTCTTTCTCAAGCTACCACCCCTTCTCACCTACTCCCACCCTAGTCTGGCCAAAAAAATTAAAACTCAATTTAAATTGAGTCCCACTTTCCAATGCCTATCATCCTTGTTCTTTTCCTCCTAAGAGCAGCAAGCCTTACATTTCTACCTTAGTTTCTCCAGTAAGTTCATCTTCACATTTTTGTTTTTTTCACAGTACTGGGGTTTGAACTCAGGGCCTACACCTTGAGCTACTTCACCAGCCCGTGTGTGTGTGTGTGTGTGTGTGTGTGTGTGTGTGTGTGTGTGTGTG